CATCTTAAATTTTGTACTTTTGTTATAAGAGCAAGAATCAGCCTCTGTTTCCTCCACCCCACTACTGAGCTGCCAACGTTTTAAAAGGCAAAATGCTTATTGTGCTTTAACTTCTGTCCTGTTCATGTCTTTCTTAAACCTCAACCCATAATTTCAATACCCTCCTATGGGTGCCCCACAGCAAGTAAATCAATCCAAGCTGAGACAACCGTAATCCCACCTGCCCTCCTTTTCTTGTCCTACCAGTGGCAGTTGCACAATGAGCTGCCTCAGAGAGAGGAGTTGGCTGAAATCTAACACTGTGCTGTGGGAATGGGTAGTCTTCAGCCAGCTCCATTCCGGAGGCCGGTGCACCACTCTTGTGTGACTGGTATCCCCAGGGGAGGGGTGGTTTCTACATTTTTGGTTGGGATTCAAGGTTGTTTAAAATACAAACACAGGCTGGCTGTGCTGCTGAAAGAAGCAGTTGCTGATGTTTCCCTGCTCTCATGCTGTCCTATCACTCTGTCAGGGAATGCACTGCTGCATGTGCACACTAAATAAATTGGGGGATTGCTCTAGGGTAAAACTAACAGCTATTTTTATCTCAAGTCCCTGGTCTGGTTTGTCATGTGGCTGTAGAAGCGTTTACCTCCAGTACTAGGAAGGGTGTGAGAACAAGTGGCCAAAAGCGAGAGGCAGACAAGGCTTGCTTTTGTCTGTGACTGCACTGATTTAAAGTGCCTTCAAGTGTTTATTGAGCTATGGCCTCACTTGTGGAAGTGAGGGGTATTTTATGTTGTCAAACATCTGTAATAGGATGAAATGCTCAAACCAGCATGTTACTGAGGCAAATAAATGGTATAAAGATGAAAGTGAACTGTGTGCTTGTTAAGAAAATTAATTCTGACAGAGGAACAGATTCCTTCCTGAAGAACACAGTTCTGTGGATTTTGGTGGAAACAGCAATGAGTTTGGAGGACGCAAATAAGGGCATTTGAAAATACCTGATAAAGCTATTTAGAATTTGATGTCTCTATGGTCCTATTTTTTCAGTGTTTCTTATTCATGGAACTCTTGTGTTGGTTGTGTAAACTTCTGGCCCACACTGAGAAAAGCAAAAAGTAGATGCAGCGTCTTTCAGTGGCACAAAGAGCAGGGAAATGCAGAGAGCACAGGAGCTAAACAGAGGAGGAGAAATTACAGTATTGCATTGAATCAGAGTGAGTTGTGTATCTGGAGTTAAAATGAGTGCTTACATAACTCTAACAGGTTTGGTTCTACCTTTGTTTAATCAGGAAAGATTTAATTATATCCCGTATGTAGTCACAAACTTACAGAAAATCGTAACTTACATATGTAGAATCTTCTCAGGAAACCCACTGGTTAAATTGAGTGTTCAAAAGATAATGCAACGTGTTAAAATTAAGATCAGAGTTTTGATATGCATCAGTTATGCCTTATAGACTGTAACCTTAAACTGTCTGATGTCTTTATTTTATCATTCTGTCTTCTCCAAGTAAGGAATGGGAAAACATTCTCTAGTCTTAAAGATTAATTTTGAACATGTTTTGTTAGTGAGGACAGGATTAGCAATCACTAACAGCAGCCAATCTTGGCGGGGGGAAAGTTCTGATTAATTGACTTCAACAACTATAGAGAATAATTAACCTTTTTTTGTGGGTATTAATAGAGTACTTAGCACCCGCTCCTGCATGTGCAGTATCCTCTCATTTTATGAAATTTCACATTTTCTTCTTATCCAATGCATTTTGGTATGTTTGTTTTGGTTCAAGTTCTGTGTTTTGTTGATGTGAAGAACTTGAGTATGAGAAATTATTTTAAATCATCTGCATGATTGCATCAGACATCAACGTGCCATAGCCCAGGAGTCATATGTAATCTGTCATGATAATTCATCCAGACTGCACTCAAAGGCGCCTGAAGAAGAGATGAATGGTTCTCCTGACGACAGCAGTCTGCTGTCCTCTACCAGCTTCTTAAGAGGCGCCCCTGTTTCTATCACATGTTTTGGTCAAGAGTCCAGGTTATTCATGTTTGCTGTGAACATGGTCCTCAGGACACTTGAAATTCCATGTGCATCTGCAAACCTTCCAGCTAATGTCAGGTGTAACAGGTATGTGCAAGTGACCTGGTGTTTCTGTGAAGAGCTTGATTTATTCTGCAAGTGCAGTGGGTCTGTTGTGTGACAGGGAGGGCTGAAAGAAAGCAAGAGACTCTTTCAGCTGTCTACTGACAACAGAAGTTGTCAGCCTATTCGAGAATAATTGATTTAGGAACTGATGTCTGTCTCTTCTTTGTGGTCTCAGATATTTCACTCTCGTGCACGCAGATTAACAGAAGCAAAAGGTTCTGTGGTGCTTTATTAATGACTTCCAAATAAATGAAGTAGCTAATGCTCCTGTATATGTGGCTGTAGTGCAAAGAATTGTACTTTGTCTTTTTCTTGGGGAAATTGCTGAGTATTGCAGATTTCTCCCCTGATACAGAATGTATGTGTCTCTGGGGTTGACTGGTGGTCTTTATACAACTTTGGCAGAAATGAGGAAGCACCACTTACATAGAGAGGCTCAAGAACTACCCTTTTTTAGTACCAGTAAAATAAAATGAGATTTTATTGTTCTGCAAGTTTCACTGAAGTGTGATTTTTAGAAGTTTCTGAAGAGCTTCTGAATGATGCTGCTGCCCTTGGCAGACTATATTGCATAGCAGACCTGCAATGGTAATCTTAAATTTTTCAGGCATGAAGTGTCTGGCACTTCTGCAATTGCTAACCTAAGTGAAACACACAACAAAATGAGATCTAAAATGTCCAGTCAGAATGAGCTACTTTTAAAAATTGGCTTCATGGTAAGATGATGCTGTAGATGCAATTCAGCACAATACTTTTTTTTCCTTTCCATTCCTTTCTAGAATGATTTGACAGCAGGTTCTTTAATGTGGATTGATTAGAGGAGTATTTTTCCTCACGTGTTTCCAAAAAAGCCTACAACAAAAGGAAGGTCAGAGATTTAAATTTTCATTAAATTGTGTGAGACAGATTAGAAAGTTTTTCTATCTAGCCACTGGAAACAAGACTGATTGTTCCAAGCTACAAGGGGAAATTTGACATTTCTTAGTGATGTCTCTTTGAAAGAAAAGTCTCAATGTCTTTTATTTTATTTGCATTTTATCACCTAAATGTGTAAGAGTATTTTTGGAGTTCTTTTGCTTTTCTCATCAGAAAGGTGTGCCCTGATCATTGTACAAATGCAGTGCCAGTATTGTTTCATGCTTGAGACAGCTGAACAGCAAACTAGTGAAGAGGATGGTTTAAATTAATGTTAGGCATGATCTTTTCTGCTTTTAACTGGAGAAATTAACAGTTTAAGTACAGTTTGGGTCAAAGAAGAGACCCAAGCTCGCCTTTGTCTTTGACTTCCAGCAGCATAGGCTTAAGATGCAAAAGTGTGGGGAGGGATCAAAGATACAAAATCATGTTCATTATTGATATTCCTGATTGTAAGAAATAACATTTGTGTGGTTACTGCATTGCAATAACAGGCCCATTGAAACGAGAATTAATTAACTACCAAGTATTCTAGATCGTGCAAGCATTTTTATTTTCCTTAATGTTCCCGGATGAATGCATCTGCCTGTACAGGTGAAAGCTACTATGATTTCTTGTTCAAAAGGCCACTGTATTAGTGTATGTGCATAATATTTTCAATCTGTAGATGAGTAAACAGTTGCTCACCCCTGTGACAGGATAGGAAAAGCACAGAACTCGTTAACTGGCTCATAGTTTTTATTTAGCATGTAACCTAAAACTGACTGCTGCTTATGTTGAAAATTAATTTTATATGTCTGCAGTATAAAGAGTTTTGAAATACTAGACACAAATATCACCTTGAATAAAGACTTGGTATATATTTGTTGTTTTTATTGTATTTAATATAATAAGTTCCATGTGTTTTGTAGTGTGCATGAGTACTTGCTTGCGAAAAGCCAGTTTACGTGCAAAGGAGTCAGTATTTTTCTTGACTATTAAGCATATCGTGACTAATAAGGAATCTGACATTTAAATGTTTACCATCTAATAAACCAAGGCCATACAGGTTTTGAATGATAAACCTTTCACTTACTCTAGGTTTATAACGTGCCTTTGGAAAGAAACCAGGATTAAAATGATACACGAAACATACGGTTTAAGTTACCTCTTTGTAACATTGGACAACTGTCTCATATATTAGAACAACAGTAATTTAGGAAAGTAATTTATCAGCTGTCACCCAAAGGGAAATAATATTTGTCATGGGATGGAACGAAGTGTTTTAAAGCAAATTACTAAAATTGGATGAAGAAAAACATGGCTAAACAACAGCTTTACAAATAGAACTCTTGATTTTACTGAAGCAGATATTCCAGTTACATTTTCCAAAAGAAGATGCATCATTTTGATTCAAGACTGTTAGCAAGAAAAAAGATTAAGTTCTCGGCTGTTTGTGATTCTGTACGTACCAGCAGCACTTCAGCTTTTACAACATGCAGCTATCTTTCAATGTGCTCAGATTATAAAGAGAATAGGTTTTCTTACTAGAAATCATGTGCTTTTGCAAACGGATTAATCTGACCTAGTTAAGTACCACAGTTTGTTTCCCTTGTCACGTCAGTGCATTGGACTTACTTTTCTGTTCAGTCTTGCACGAAATACACTTAACTTTGAAATTTAATTAAAATTCTTAAATACATGTACAGTTTTTGTCCCTAAAGCTTAGCTTACCAACGCATGTTTAACAGAGGAACTACACATTTTAGTGTGTAATATGAAACACTTTCAGACTCACTTTTAGCTGTCAGAACACCTGTCAATATAAATGATGTTGATCATTGTGAGTTTCTACAGTGTGAAATCTTGACGTAATGTTAAATCTGTTGTAATCACTTGGTAGGAACTGCATACACAGGCATGAATTTTGAAAGGTAAGGTGGACCTACAGATAAAAAATTTATTTGGAGTGATGTCGAAGACATTTCTTAGCAGCATATCTAATCTGATTCTTGTCTTTGCTATTTTTGCTTACATTACTTTGTTCAAGATCTTGAAAGGTCCTGATTGCTTTTAGCATAGTGTGTACAGATCTCTTTCAGAAAATCTCTGGACCTTCTAGTGTCAAATGCTGAAAATGATAATGCTGTTCTTGGCCTACTCATTTCATGGGACTAAAGTCAATAAGTGGGCTTTTTAACCTTCAGTGCTAACAAAAATAAATCAGATATGTTATGAGGCTTATTTTTTAGTGCTTCTGTTATTTCAGGTGTTAATTTTGCTGGATGTGTCCTTGTGCTCAGGAATACTTTGTTTCATCTTGATACAGTAGTCTATAAAGAGCCGGTGAGGGTGGATGTTACTTAAAGAACATTCTGATTTCCAAAACAACACACAAATTCTTACTGGGGGGAAATACACGTCTAGCCATTGAGCAAATAGATTTTTCAGTTTGCTCTTTATAATTTGATTTTGAGAATACACAATTTGTGCTATTTTTTCCACTTGTTAACAATTCTTTCTTTAGTATTGTTACTGCTGTTTAAAATTAATACTCAAATGTTAGGTAGAGGGCCTCAGGTTGGAGTTATAATTTAATTTGTTGTAGAAATCCAGAAAAATTGAGGATATTCTCTAAAGAGCTGGAAGAATTAACTACAGCACTAAAATTGTGATACTGTAGCAAACAATGCACTAGCAGTTTGATGATGATCAGACCTGGCAGTTATTTTCAGTAGAGTATTTGCTGTCCATTGTCTTTCCACATCTGTTCTTTTTCATCCTGCTGTGAGTCCATTAACAACAGTAAAACTGATGTGCTCTTGTTTTAGTGGGGGGTTTCTCCCATCTTTTCAGAACCTGTTTTCTTCTGTGCGTAGGTGTTGAGGGAACATGTAACAGCAGGATCACTTTCTGTACTCTGTGCAATTTTTAAAGTCATTATGAATGAACTTTTACCTCGTTGTAGAAGCTCTCTGGTCACCTATGATGAGAAATTAAACATTAGGCAACACTAGTTGCATGGTATTTTCTCACAATTGCTATTTCATCTGCATGTGACTTACCTTGGAGTTTTCTTGCTACATGATCAGCACTGTTAAAAAACCAACAGAATTCATACCACTGCTAAAAAGCAAGATGACTGAAACACCAGTGAAACTTTGAAGATGAATGTGTGTATCTGATTTATTTTTGTTCTTTTGTAGGTGATGGATGTGGACACACCGTTCTCGGCCCTGAAAGTGGAACACTTGCTTCGATAAACTATCCACAGACCTCTCCCAATAGCACAGTCTGTGAATGGGAAATTCGTGTAAAGCCTGGGCAGCGAGTTCAGCTCAAATTTGGCGATTTTGATATTGATGACTCAGATTCCTGTCATTCCAGTTACTTAAGAGTTCACAATGGGATAGGCCCCACCAGGACAGAGATAGGTAGGAGCTTTTATTATTGGTGTTTGAAAGCTATTGTCTTATATAGAATTGGGAAGAAACTGTTGGTATTTTTGTTACTTTTAAAATTTCTCCTTGTTTGCCTGCTCTGAGCATAGACTAACTACCAGGTGTATGGTATGAGTGAAGTTCTTTTTTTAATAGCCCTACAAAACTGTTGTAATTCAGCTGGATATTGGGCTGGGTAAGACATTGCCTGAATACATCATATGCTGCTTTGTATGGTGTGGATTTTGAGTCTTATGAGAAGTGATGAAAAGAAGGAAGTGTTTATTATTTACAGGAATCTCAAATAAGGAAAAGAAAAGGAATTTTAGTAATGCTGTAATCAGAGTTGTGTTTTTCCTGAGCTTCAAATCAAGAGAACCCTGCAAAACTTTGAGGAGTGCTGCTTGTACCTCACCACAGTAGAAAAACAGCCATCAGGGACCAGTTTTAGTAAATATACTACTGATAGTACTGCTAGAAAGTGCAGCTAAGGAAAGATTCTCCTGTATTCCCTACAGGTCTTCAGTACAGGGAGGGAATACAGGTGCAACTGTAACTATATAAAAATAAAAGTGGTAAGGAAAACAGCAGTGTGACTGTCTCTTTCTCTGGTGATGTGCTCATTTCGAGTACGCTTACTGTTGTTGCTCAGCAGATGAACTCTGTTTGGAATGCCAGAGTATTCTTAATGTAATTATTCTTAAGTAATTCTGTTTTGTTTACTGTTATTAAAGTGTATGTAAATGTCTGTCTTCTTGACACAATTCCTATATCCTAAAAATGTACTGAAAAATGATTAGTAATAATGATAGCAGAACATCCTATATTTTGTTCATGCATACAACAACTAGATGCTAAATGCAACACAGATCCTACAATAATATTTTATTGTTCAGATTCTCAAAGAAAACTCCACTGCAATGTTTTGTTTTGTTTTGTTTTTTTTTCCGCTCAGAAATTTCCCAGTAGCTTGCAAAGTTCTTGTAAGCAGTGGAGAGGGAATTGCAAAACTATGAGGATCTTCATTAAAAAAAGTAAAAAAAAGTAAAAAAGTTAAAAAGTAGTATGTATATATATCTTACTGGAAGCGCCTTTCTTTTTATATGAACAGCTCTGATTTGAGCTAGTCATCTTGGTGGTATTAAAGGATGTCAGACTTCAAAAGTTGTGTAGTTCAAATATGCCCCATCTTTTGATAATGCGCATAGTTTGATTTTTATCCTCTTTAAGAGGACAGATTGAATTTCATTACTGTAATGCAGGTTTGGTTGGGTTTTTTTGTTTGGTTTTTTTTTTTCAAATAGCAGTGTGACATTATGATCTATGTCAAGGCGTATGTAGGGTTTTAAGACCCTTGTGGTTCTGTTGCATAAAACTCAAAATGAATTGTTATTCTTACTTCACTAAAATTAGTTGTTATTGTGCAGAATAATTTTATTTTCTTTCTTAAAGCTTTAATCTGGAGAGGGAGAGAAAGAGAGAGTTACTTCACCAAGATTGTTTTTGTGCAACTCAAATGCCGGTCCCACTAAATTGAGTCTTTTTGTAAAGAGGCTAGTGGAATGGTAGCTTTGATAACCCTCTTTTCCAGCCTAGGTAAGTGTATGTGAAAATAAGTACGTGCTTGGAGCCGTTGAGCCAGACTTGGTCTAAAATAGGAAACACTGAAGTCCTTAAATGGCAAGGAACGTCCAGTTCTGATAAGTCTATTATTCACTTTTACAAGTGACTTAATGGGTTCGAGTAAATTTTCTACTTCATTTGTTTCTCTTGACTTTCAGCTGTTCCCAGCTGGTGTAGTAGCACAGTATGTTGAGCAAAAATGTGTGCATTGTTCTGCTCTTAATAAATTAAATCACAGAGCAAACAGTGATATTAACAGTGGCAGATACAGATGATGCAGATTATTGAATGTTCATATTTGAAGCTATAAACACAGGAGAGAATGAAGTGACCTGAATTTGTTTGGAAGAAATCTAGATTTATCCTAGGTTTTTCTGTTCAAAACAACTGACATGGTCTAACATTAAAATACTTGTATTACATAAAATCTGAAATTCAGTGATACCTACTTCAATCCAAAATGACTTAAAAAGTGGCCGATTAGAATAAAGAATGAATTGTTAGTGAGTTAGTGTGTAGATAAACACAGAAGGTTTCTAATTCAGCTTTTAAGGGCTAGTTCTCATTCCAAGACTTTTGAATATTGATCTATAACTCAAGATTCAAATCCTTAGTGTTAAGTTTGTGTCTAGTTTAAGATGTAGAGGTGTTCTGTATTAGGTTTCATCACAGTCCAATTGCTGTGTGTGTACAGTCAGATGTACTTACTTAATACATACAATGTAAGCCCAGATCTACAGGAGCAGAGAACGTAAGCTACTGTGGGAATTCCCTTACCTGCTGTAATGTTGCTGTACAAAAGCACTTGGGGTCCTTCAATACATAAGTACAGGCAAAATAGTAAGATTACATCTTCTGCGCATACCATTGACAGAGGTGTCACAGCAGTCATGTTTTGTGCATTTCTAGTGCCCGCTTTTCAAAAGATTGCTAAAAATCTGATGAGGCCAGGGAAGAGTTAGAAAAATAATTTTTGGTCTCAAGAGTATGTCTTGCCATGAATCATAAGGTGCATCAGTCTGCAGTTTGTCAAAGGCTGTATCTCCATGGTGTAAGCAGCACTGAGGTTTATCCAAGCTAGATTTAAATGTTTTGCCTAGTGTATTTACCTGAAGAGGTGGATAAATGGTGTCTTGAGGACAGTCTGACCTGTCCTGAGAGGAGTCTCGTGCTGGTCAATCATCTAACAAGATCCAGTGGCTGAAAACAAAACTTAACGAAAGGGAGAAGAAAAGTGGTAGCTGGAAAAATTATGCATTTCATCATAATGAATGCAATTAATCATGGAAACAGGACTTAGAGGAAAACATAGGGTCAGTGTGGAGCCTACTTCTTTGTAACTGCTGCTGATAACTGGTTTAAATAGCAAATTGAGATAAGGTTATATTTGTATAATGTCATAAATTTCATTAAAGTATTGTAAAATCTATTTTCTTTTTCATTAGAAAATACCCTTTCTTTGTTTAAAAATATCTGAATAAGCAACATTTAGAAAGCTCTGAATAATGATAGGAATTTGTATTTCTAATTTTTCTATTATTTTATTAGTATTTGAGAGTGCAGTTCACTTTTTAAGGGAATTTGACATGCATGTTTTGTTTGTGTTGTATTTGTTTTGTATTATATTTGTTAAGAGCTATTCCTGCAGGGCAATGTTACTCCACCTCCCTTTGCTTTGTTAGTGTAACTTGCCTTTAGTTGAGAACGGAGTCTGGCTTCTTTTTTTGCTATTTTACAATATGATATGATACATATTATCAAGAGTGGAAATAAATGACTGGTGAAGTGAAACATATGCAATGTCATTTGCTGCTGCTGATTATTCACTTCGATTATCCACTCCAGAATCTTACGTAGGGTTATAGATGGTTTACAACATTGAATGATCAAGGGAGCCTATAGAACAGAAGATATTTTTTTTTCTTAATGGGTTAATAAACTGCTCAGTATTTTATTAAAATTTCTAGTCAGTAGGACTGGAGAATTCTGTGTTGACTTGGGTCTGTTCAACAGCCATTCCTCCAAGTAATGTAATTTGGTAGTAAATTCTAGGACTCCGTAGGGCAAATATTACCAATGTCTGCAGACTCCAGCATCTCAGTTTGCAATTTATTATTGTGGTTCGTTTTGGATGGCAAGAGAAGTGACCAGATGCAGACCTCTGTAATGTTATATAGATGCAGCAAAACAGAAAGTGAACCCGCTGGCGGTTTATATTAATGGTACTCGCATATGCTTGTATGTTAACGCTGAAGTGCAGTGAATCATGCCTGTTGTCCAAAAATTAATAAAAGTAGTTGACAGAAACCATGAAATAGTCAACCAGGAAGAAGTGCCCCGACAGCTGAGGGAAGAGAAGGGCTTTTTTCTTATTTGCTTCTGTAGATGATTCTTGTTGCCCTAAATTGATCCTTTTCCTTGACAGATTTCTCATGGTATTTGAGGAACTAATTGCAAGGGTTATGCATGGCTAGAGGTGAATGGGATAAGGTCACATTTATTTGCAAGCGTTAAAGGTATGAGAGGCTCTCACCTGTTGACAGTGGCAAAATAAATGTGGTACCCATACTCTGCCATTTGCTTTAAATGGACTCCCACTGCATTATTTAGTGTCATGCACACATGTATTGGTTTTGAATATATGCCAGAAGTAATGTGAGATTACACTGCGAATGAAAAAAGATGCTTATTACACATGTTGGTTTTGGTTCATGTCTGTTTTCCCTCTTTTCTCCATAGGTAAATACTGTGGGTTTGGTTTTCAAATGGATGGTTTAATTACTTCAAAAAGTAATGAAGTCACAGTACAGTTCATGAGTGGAACACATACTTCTGGACGTGGATTTCTTGCAGCTTATTCAACCACTGACAAATCAGGTATTTATAATTATTTGGTAGGTTTTCTATGCTGGTAAAACTAGAGCTCTGTAGTAAAAACACAGAACTAATTTATTTATTCCTGCGTTCTCACGAATTAACTTCTAAAAATGAAAACTGTTAATACAATCTTCCTGATACTTCTGCATAGGAAATTGGACTGTTCAGATACCATTCAAGTTACTGTAGTTTTAAAGAAATGATACCAAAGCTTATCCTGGACAGGGGGCAAGAATCGGAGTTGTCTGTTATTCACGGTTTTCTGTTATGAATGAAAGAGCTGCTTCAGATAAAGGACAAAATGCAGTTTTTCAGGTAGTAATGAAGGTGGCAGATAACCAAATAATTTTCTTGTCGAACTGTATATATTTTATACAGACGAACCGTGTGGAAAATTTTATTTCAGTAAAATCCTACACTCCCGCAACTCTTTTAATTGTATAATCTGCTGACTACTTTTTAGGGTTTTTGCCATTTCTTGTTTTTCCCATGTTTTTGGTTATTCTAGCCTCTAAAGGAGGCTGCTGTATTTGTTTTGCATCTCCTTCCACTTATTGTAACGGTGAGTGACAGACATGGTCCACAAGGAAATGAAAAATTGCCAGCAAGTGCTTCATAAGGCAGAAGGCTTGAGAAAACCCTTTCTAGAAGCAATTCCGAAAAAGAGCAGATAAAGACTTTTCAGTTTTAGTTTTTATTTTGGGGGTTGTCTGATGCATTCTTTTCTCTGTATTTTGGACACATTTGTATGTGCTGATACACAGCAGACTGAACATAAAATTTGAGATACCAGTCGTGGGTGCCAATAACATGGCACTCTAATGTTTGCTGCCTATGCTGCCTGGTTTCAGTACTGTAGGACTGTTAAATACTGAAAACACAGGCCTGCTTCGCTAGCTTGTTAATTGAATGTTGTGAAAAGTGCGTATGTTTGTGTCTCTGAATTATGTCAGCTTCTCTGAAGTATAGCTATAAATTAAAATTAAGCTGCACAAAAAAAGAATGTTTTTAGCATTTCTCTTCTTGTCTATGTCACATTCTCAGTGGATTTCCCAGTTACTCAGATAAATTACCAGGGTTCTACTGTAGTACAAAATCGGTTGCAAGAAAATTTAGTAAGAACGTGTTTTTTTTTTTTCATTCTGAGACTTTTGGTTAAGCCACAGAGGTTCAAATGTGTATTTTTGTGCGCTTTAAAAAGCATACTCAAACTTGTTGTTTTTATCATCCTCTTGACCTAACATTTTTTCTTTCCAGACCTAATTACCTGTTTAGATAATGCAAGTCACTTTTCTGAACCAGAATTCAAGTAAGACTAATTTTACCTATTTTCCCCCCAATTTCTTTAATGAAGTAATTTTAGTGTTTCTACTTCACTTTGTTACTTATACCTGGTGCAGCTTGAAAATTGGCTGTCCAGTGAACTTAAGAAACAGACTAACTAGGGTTAGAGCTCAATAATTTCGACATTTGCACTCCTCCTCCCTCTCTCCCTCTCGCTCCCGTTTTTGTAATTTACTTGCAGTATACCATAGAACCTCATTAGTTTGCACTAACGCATAGGGGCTAATATCTCATTCCCATATTGCATA